CCATAATATCACACTACTCTCAGTGATGCGTCTTTCTTTTTTATTTTATTTTATTTTATTTATTTGACAGAATGAGAGAGAGAGAGATCACAAGTAGAGAGGCAGGCAGTGAGAGAGGGGGAAGCAGGCTCCCTGGTGAGCAGAGAGCCTGATGCGGGGCTCCATCCTAGGACCATGATATCATGATCTGAGCCGAAAGCAGAGGCTTAACCCACTGAGCCACCCAGGCGCCCCTGTGATGCATCTTTCAAGCACACTTCCAGTCCCAGTCCACTCTGACACTCTTTATAACTGCTGTCCTTAAAAAATCCCCCCAGCTGTTTCAATGGCAGAAACAAACAAACAATCTAAAAAGTTAAAACACACATACATACACTCACAAGGATCATAAGCCTGTTGGTCACAATGCCTGAAAGTTATTATTTATAATTTTTCTTTGGGTCCAGAACAACTTTGGGTAGCTGAACGGCCTCCATTACCGTTCTAATCTTTGGCTACCATCCAGACCCTTCTGTTCCACTGCTGACGGGGGCCCAGTTGTGTGTGGGGGGGGGCAGTGAGCCATCCCTCAGTGTCCTCTTTCTCATACCAGGAGGCTTCTAAGGACCCCTCCACCTCTAATTTATAAGTCAAAGTAAACACCTCAGACAGATGAGTTAAAACCATGAGGTGCAAGGCCTTCTGGGACAGAGGCCAGGGCAGGGCAGAAGGGGCCTGGATTGCTGTGGGATAGGAGGGCTGTGCCAAAGGCAGACTTTGCCACCCTGCTCCTTTCCAGAGGCTCTCAGTGGCAGAAGGGAATCAGCTTACCTGGTCTGAGACCAGACTTGAAAACCAGCTGCCCAATTTCAAAAAAGCCTAATTGCTGACTTTTCTTGTAATATCAGTCCCAACATCGTCTTTATGTATGTATTTTTTAAGATTGATTGATTGATTGATGTGAGAGAGAGAGAGAGAGCAGCAGCAGCGCAAGCAGGGGGAGCTGCAGAGGAAGAGGGAGAAGCAGGCTCCCCACTGAGCCAGATTCGGGCAGATCCTAGGACCCTGAGATCATGACCTGAGCCAAAATCAACAGCCAGACACTCAACCGACTGAGCCACCCAGGCATCATCCCCCAACATCCTCTTTAGATAAGTGGCAAACAAAAACAAAAACAAAAACAAAAACCTCTCAATCCCAGAATATAGTTATTTTCCAATTTAGTTGCTCATAGACTAGTTCCCCTTCTCCCCTTCCAGTTTTGACTGCAAGCTCCACCCACCTCTTTAGGTGGTTCCTGAGCAGCTCATTCCTACAGTCTCATCTTAAAAGAAAAGTTTTTTTCTGATCACAAATGCAACACATAGTTACTAAGTTCATTGAAGGGACTCAGTCAGTTACGTGTCTGCCTTCGGCTCAGGTCACAATCCCAGAGTCCTGGAATTGAGCCTCACACTGGGGCTCCCTGCTCAGCAGGGAGTCGGCTTCTCCCTCTCCTTCTGCCACTGCCCCCTCCTCGTGCACTCTCTATGCCTCTCACTCTATCTCGAATAAATACAATCTTTTTTTTTTTAAAGTTTATTGAGGGGCACCTGGGTGGCTCAGTGGGTTAAGGCCTCTGCCTTCAGCTCAGGTCATGATCCCGGAGTCCTGATATGGAGCCCCGCATCGGGCTCTCTGCTCTGCAGGGAGCCTGCTTCCCCTTCTCTCTCTGCCTGCCTCTCTGCCTACTTGTGATCTGTCTGTCAAATGAATAAATAAAATCTTAAAAAAAAAAAAAAAGTTTATTGAGAAAAGACTGGAAAATACAAAAAAAAAAAAAAAAAAAAGAGGGAGGAGAGAGAGGAAGGATTCAGATAACTACTCTGAACAGTTTGATAGCTTTCTACTCCAAGCTATCTTTTTAAAAAATGATTGATAAACCTCATTGGCTACAATGCTGCCACTGGGCAAAGCTTAAAAATCAGACTGACATTATCATAACTGTTTTGTTAGTTTTCCTCACTCAACAGTGAACGTTTCCTAAAATTGTTATTCTTCCACAGCACCATTTAAAATCACTGCAGAATATGTCATCTTCTTGTAGATCTTAATTTATTTGACCTGCTTAACAGCCAGATTCTTTCAGGTGTTTGTTATGTTTTAGATAACACAGAGATAAGGACGCCTGGGGGGGCTCAGTCAGTTAAGCGGCTGCCTTGGGGTCAGGTCATGATCCCACAGTCCTGGGATGGAGCCCCCCCGCACAGGGACCCTTGCTCAGTGGGGAGCCTGCTTCTCCTTCTCCCTGCAGCTCCACACCCCCGCTGGGGCACTCTCTTTCTCTCTGACAAATAAATAAATATTTTTAAAAAAGAAAACCACATACATACAGATAAACATATCCTAATAAATGCATCTCCTTCCATAGTCTCAGACTATTTCTTCAGGAAAAAAAATGTTTTTAGGGATGAGTGGATATGACATCAAAGACTGTTTATTTTAGAAGCTCTTAATGATTATTATCAAATTGCCCTTCAGAAACAAAGCACTAATTTATAGTCCCATCAACCGTGTATGAGTTGCCCATCTTCACCAGCATTAGATAGCACTGTTTGTTTTTTGAGTTTTCCACCAATGTGGGTCTCAAACTCCTGACCTCGAGATCAAGAGTCACATGCTCTAAGGACTAAACCAGCCAGGGGCCCTAGAAGATTACCGCTTTTAAAAATCTTTACTAATTTGATCATTCTGCCTTACCATTACCATTCACATCCTCATGACACAGAGTAGGGAAAAGGATTTTTTATGGAGGTGAGAAGAACCTAGGAGATGGGGAGTTGTGGCTTCTAGAGCATGACCTAAGCACACAATCAGTAAATGTCTGCATGGGTAGTAGTATGGAGAGCTTTCTGAGCAGAGCTGCTTTTGGATGGCAGCTACATGGCTGGAGTAGGGTGCCGGCCTCATAGTCCATAGGGCTGATTAGCTACTGGACAGTCAGCCAATAGTGAGACCTGAGGCTCAGGTGATCCAGACGCTTCAAGCTGTGCATACCACAGGTTGACCGGTGACAAGGAAAGAAGAAAATGTGCCTAAGAGTCCCTTGGAAACCACGAAAACACTATATATATGCATGGGACTGTAATTCCTGCTGTCACTGACCACAGTGAATGATCCTATTATTGCTGATCTTAAACATATTGTACCATTTTCGGACAAATGATCCCATAATCCCTAGTCAACTACAAGTCTTCCCTCTGCAGCCCGGCAGGATTAGACCAACATCCTGGAGATCTGCTCGACTCTTGGGGTGAGAGAGAGAGAGAGCACTCAGAGACACTTCCCAACCACCCAGGATCTCACAGCTTCAGGAAATCATTCTGCCAGCCTGAAACGGATACGTTTGCAAAGCAGTCGAGGGCATTAAAGGAGGAACGGATGACCTGTGTGTGCTCCCATCCCTGGGGCCTGAAAGCTATCTACCCTTGGTGTCAGGGACCAGGTCCCACCCAAGACTTGGGAGGATGGGGCTGGGGTAAGAAGCTGTAGCCCTCAGGGCGATTTGAGGTCTCTCTCAGGTAACTCTGTCTCTAAGAGACCTCCATGGACCCTGTTCTCATCCGGACCCAACTGCCTTAGCACCCCTTGAATCCCAAGTGTCTCTTGCCTTTAGGAGCACCTGACCGCAGGCCACTATTGATCTTGGGTTTGTAAATTCGGCCCCATGTTGGGTGTAGTGATGACTTTAAAATCTAAACCAAGGGCGCCTGGGTGGCTCAGTGGTGGGTTAGGGCCTCTGCCTTCGTTCGGCTCAGGTCGTGATCCCGGGGTCCTGGGATCGAGCCCCGCATTGGGCTCTCTGCTCAGCAGGGAGCCTGCTTCCCTTCCTCTCTCTCTGCCTACTTGTGATCTGTCTGTCAAATAAATAAATAAAATCTTAAAAAAAAAAATCTAAACCAAAAAAAGAAGGGTGCCAAGGTGGCTCAGTCAGTTAGGCGTACGCCTTTGGCTGGGGTCCTGATCTCAGGATCCTGGGATACGGTCTGCATGGGGCTTCCTGCTCAGCAGGGAGTCTGCTCCACCCCTCCTGCCCCTGCTTGTGCTCCCTCCTCCTGCCTCAAATTAAATTAAATTAAATTTAAAAAAAAAAAAAAAAAGAAAGAAATGGCTCCTGCTGTTAAAGAGTTACATAGTAAGGAGAGAGAGTCTTGGCCAGAAAGCCCAACAGGCCTGGGTTAAATCTTGGCGCTATCACTTGTTCACCAGGGGACTGACTCTGTCCCTCATCTACAAAATGGGGACAATACTACCTACCTTATAAGAATGTTATATTCAAAGGACTAGAAGGCCTCGCCTCGGGGGCCCTCCTCAAAGGTGCTTTGTACTTGGTGGAGGACGGTAGGAAGCTGTGGTTTGCCCGGAATCCCCAGTGAAATTGTAGAGAATGACAAAGGCCTGGGAAAGACTGGCAAGGAGAGCAAGGGGCTTAGGGCTTTCGGATTTGATGCGAAAGATAACCGGGGCCAGGCAGGCCTGATACAAAGGTTCTGGCGGCGGTCGGCTCTCGGCAACTGCAACACAGCCCGGGAAATCGGGAGGTGGGAGGGTCTGGGAAATCCCGGGAGGGAGCTTGGGGCAATGATTCCCAGCTGCTCCGGCAGGCTGCAGAAACTAGTTCGACCCTGCTATTTACCATTTGTGAGCTTTCATTAGCATTTGAAGGAAGAGTGCACAGAATGCCTGCTGAGCCTTTACAGCTGCACAAAAGCTAGCCAGCTGGCCGTGGGGGCGGGGAGCGTGAGGGCTCTGTGAGCAGCCGGGTTTCCTGGATCCAGACCTATCTTGCGTACCAGACTCCACAAGGCGCTGAGTTTCTTTCTATCCCGGCTACATAAAAAGTCCCTTCTAGTTACAAAACTCCCCAAGTTCTCAGCTACCTCAGTGATCGATCCAATATAGAAAGCATAGAGATTTTATAAAGAAAAAAAAAAAACATTGTAATAGGAATGTGTGACATGTTGAATTATTTATTTTGATTTTTATATATGGAATGCTTAACGAATTAGCCTGTCTTCCTATCACAGGGGCCACGCTAAACTCCTCTGTATCATTCAGATTTTTAGTATATGTTCTGCTGAAGTGAGCACATGTTGAGTTATTAACTCACTTTCATTATTTCTTATGAAATAGAGACCAGTATTGCCCTTGGGTTAGAAATAACATGTTTCAGAAACACGTTCAGACACAGATTCCAAACTCCTAAACTTACAGGGGCCACATTCCTTGAACCACTGTGTGCCTGAGTTACCAGAAGCTTCCCTGAATGTTTGCACTCTAAGAAGAAATTTGGTATTTATTTATTAGGAAAAAAAAACAATCAGGCCAATATTTGGCTTTGGAGCCCAGGGTGGCAAGCAGCTGTGTCCAGGGATTCAGTTTTGGTTCTCAAAGGCACTGCATCTGAGACTGTCTTGTCTTCCTCCTCTGAAAGGGGGAAAGATAGAATGGAAGAGCTTGGAGTTTAAAGCACAAAGAATCCCAGCTTTGTCCCGCCGGCTCTGCCGCCCTGTTCTGTACAGCCACAGTTCAGCCCCGTCATTCTGAAATGAAACTCACTTTAGACATGCAAATGACTCACCCTGGAGAATGGGATCATAGGGTCTCACAAGTCGAACTGTGGCTTTGAAGACTACTTGGGAGCCTGCTGTGTTCTGCCAGGAATACCTCCCGGAGTTGCTGTTGGAGCTAAAGGAGATCAGGACTACAAATGGGTTTGGAAAAGCAGAAAGGACTAAAGGACCACTCGGTTTTATAAAAGCACTGAGTCCTGAATAAGTTGCTGGCCATTAATCCAGTCCATGCAATAGAGAAGATTTTGCAAGGACTCTCTTCTGTTGGCCAGGGTGGACACAGTCTAGGTCTAGAGTTGCTTCTGTTCCTGAAATCTGATTTCCAGTCTTTTCTCTACTCCTCTCCCCTTGTCCCCTGCCCCCTCCATTGACTGGGTCCTCTCATGGATGCGATCCTCTGCCGGGTTTAGCCGAGGGCACTGGAGCAGTATGGGCCAAGAGAAAAAGAAGCCAGTACCCCCCAGCAGTAAAGCTTGAGCAGGCAGAGTAAAAGCATCCAAGGCAAGGCAAGGTGAAGACAAGGTGAGGTGGAGGAGCCCACAGAGGCGGAAGCTGTGAAGACGAAGGGAAGAGAAGCCCAAGGTTTAATACGCCACAGAAGGGCCCACTGCAAACTCCTTATTGCTCAGAGAGCAGCAGTCATGCCCAGCCCCTCCGCCAGCCTTCAAAGCGGCCACTGGCTTGTCAGATGCTAAAATCCCTCCTTCCAGGATGCATCATTTCCATTTCCAAAGGGACTTTGCATTTCAGAAAAACTGTGCTAGACTAAATAACTTGAGAGGTAACTTGGTCTCATTGGTTAAGAGTTAGGACTCCCCAGGGCAACAAAAGTGCTTGCGTTTGAATATTTGCCACTTAATGAGGGCTGTGATCTTGGGCAAGGCAATTAACCTCTCTGTGCCTGAGTTTTTCTTTTCTGTAAAGCAGGGATAATAGTAATAGCACCTGGTTCTTAGATTATTGTACAAACAACAGGTATTAATCTTTGTAAAGTGCTCAGAACATGTTCTGGCACATAGCTTCTTTAAGGTTTAAAATACACACACACACACACACACACACATATACATATATATATATGAATATGTATACATGGGGCACCTGGGTGGCTCAGTCATTCAGCATCTGCCTTCAGCTTAGGTCATGATCCCAGGGTCCCGCATCAGGGCTTCTTGCTCAGTGGGGAGCCTGCTTCTCCCTCTTCCTCTGCTGCTGCTCTCCCTGCTTGTGTGCTCTCTCTGTAAAATAAATAAAATCTTTAAAAATATACTTATATACATACATACATGATCACTTTATGACTACATCTCCCTGACTAGAAGTAAGTTCTGAGACCAGGGGCGCTGTCTTGTATACCCAGGGATCAGCTCGCACTGAATATGGTAAGCACTCAACTCTTTGGACAGGAGAACCTCCAGAACTTTCCTAGACTCCAGCTACAGAAAAGGGTGACTGGGACCCCAGGTCCCCTTACCCAAGAAGCAAAAGGCCCCCTGCTAGCACTCAATAAAGCTGAAGTAACCCCCAAGAGCTATGCTGTGACACAGTTCCCTGTTCTCAGACCTCGGACTTCTCCTTGTTTTGACCACACAGGATGTGGGGCCAAGATCTTATCTGACTGAAGGAAGCACTTGGTCTCTGAGTCAGGCCTCACTGCCCAGGTTCAGGTGTGGGCCGAGGAAGAACAATCCGAAGCCCAGACAGCTCAGTAGCCTGTGGGCAGAGGGCCAGTCTCCCTCCCCGACTCCCAAGGCACCTGGACCCTTCTTCAGAAGTTTGGGCTGGATGCATCTCTAGATAGCCACACCCCAGCCCAAAGTTCCTTACTGAAAATGTTGACTTCTCCCCTGTGGCTTACAAGGTGATCCGCACTTGCTAGGCCCCTGCTTGGGCACCTCTCCAAAGGACAACTCTAGTTAGGCCCATAGGGAAGTGAATCTGAGTCACCTTTGATGTCAACTCTTCTCTGTTGTATGTGGTGCTGAGAAAGGATATAGTTGACCCTTGAACACCACAGGTTTGAACTGTGTGGGTCCACTTATACACACATATATTTTTTTTAAGATTTTATTTATTTATTTGACAGAGAGAGACACAGCGAGAGAGGGAACATAGCCGGGGGAGTGGAAAAAGGAGAGGGAGAAGCAGGCTTCCCGTGGAGCAGGGAGCCTGATGCGGGGCTCGACGCCAGGACCCTGGGATCATGACCTGAGCCAAAGGCAGACACTCCAACCAACTGAGCCACTTAGGTGCCACCACACATTTTGTGATAATTTTTTTTATAAAGCATAGCACTGTAAATCTATTTTCCCCTTCTTATGATTTTCTTAACATTTTCTTAGCTTACTTTATTGTAAAAATACAGTATATAATACATAAAACATAGAAAATATGTGTTACTTGACTGTTTATGTTATTAGTAAGACTTCCAGTCAACAGTGGGCTATTAATAGTTATGTTTTGGGGGAGCCAGAAGTTATTCGTGGATTTTCGACTATGTGGGGGATGAGGTTTTTGCCTCACATTGTTCAAGGGTTGAATGTAAATATTAACAATTAAATGCTCCACTGATTTTTAAGATTTATTCCAGGGGTGCCTGGGTGGCTCATCACTTAAGTGTCTGCTTTCGATTTAGGTCATGATCTCAAGGTCCTGGGATCAAGCCCCAGGTCAGGCTCTTTGCTTCTCCATCTCCATCTGTGCCTACTGCCCACCACCCCAGCTCATGCTCGCATTTTCTCTCTCTCTAATAAATAAATAAAATCTTTTAAAAAATGTAAGATTTATTCCAATTTCATAGGTGCTAGAATATGGAAATCTGCCTCTCAGAATTGATGAAAACAGTACCGTTACTACATACATACAAACAGCAGGAGGAAAAGACAGAAGAGAACACTCACGTTCCACCAACAAATCCAGCCACCAGAGCCTCCGACCTCCCTCTGCTGACAATGGGTGAGCTGCCTGTGCTCCCACCTGAGCCAATCCTGCACATGCGCACTGGGTCCCCGCCCCTCTCAACAACAGAACCATCACTCCAGTGGTCCTCATTCCTCTTCCCAGCATGAATAATAGTCTTCTCTCGGCTAGTTCATTTCCAGTGCTAAACATTCAGGTTCATTTCTTTCTTTTTTTTTTTTTTTAAGAGGCTTCTTTTTTTTCTTTTCTTTTTTTTTTTTTTAATTTATTTGATAGACAGGGATCACAAGCAGGCAGAGAGGCAGGCAGAGAGAGGAAGGGAAGCAGGCTCCTCGCTGAGCAGAGAGCCAGATGTGGGGCTTGATCTCAGGACCCTGGGATCATGACCTGAGCCGAAGGCAGAGGCTTTAACTCACTGAGCCACCCACGCGTCCCCAGGTTCATTTCTTAAACTATTTATTTATTTAAGTAATCACTACACCCAAGTTCATTTTTTTAAAGTATTTATTTATTTAAGTAATCACTACACCCAAGGTGGGGCTCAAACTCACGACCCGCAGATCAAGAGTCATGGCTAGTCCAGCTGAGTTGGCCAGGCGCCCCCTTCCAATTCCTTAACTACGCTCTACACAAAATTCCTTAAAAGAGAGGTCTTCTCTTGTCATCTCCTCATCCTCTCTTCCCACATTTTCCCTTGAACCCTGATGGTGATGGGAACACCAGGCTTCCATTCCCACCACTCCATCTAAACAGGTTTCTGTGAAGGTCCCCAGTGATCTTCCATTGCCAAATCCAAGGGACAGCCTGACTCCTTAGCTTATTTCCCTTTAAGCAGCAATTGATTTCCAAGATACTGAGCTCTCCTGGTTCCCCTCCTCCTTCACACCCCGTCCTGCCTTGACTACCAGACCTTTCCCCTGCCTGCCCCCACTCCCCGGGTGATTTCACCCAGTCCCATGGCTTTAATTATCTGTCTTAGTTTAATAACTACTGTCCCCAGCTCTGGCCTCTCCCTTGAACTCAGGGTTCATGTGTCCTAACAGCCACCTCAAATTAATATGTCCAAAATCAAATTTTTTAAAATTCCAACTTCAAGAAGTCCTCGTCTTAAAAAAATGGCAGTTTTCCCAGTTAGTCTCGCCCAAATAATCGGAATCTGAATCATCCTTGACTACTCACTCTCTCATACATCTAACCCATCAGCAAATTGTTACGGACTTCAAAATATCTCTAGAATAAGATCATCACACAGTTTCTGCTTGCTACCACCGTAGTCCCAACTATCAATTCTCCATTACCTGGGCTCTTGCAGTAGTCTCCTACTGGTTTCCTTAGGCCCCTCTATCTCCTGAGTTCCGTCCCAAAGTGATCCTTAAAAGCTACACTACACCAGACCCTGGCACATCTCTACTGTCCGAGGCTACCACCCCAGGTGGAAGAAAAGCCAAACCTTCCCTGGCCCATCTGGGTTCCCCTTTCTCCTGCTTGCTCTGCTCCAGTCACCTTGGCTTCCTGGCTGTTTCTAGAAAGCCCTCTCCCACTTCAGACAGTTTCTTCTGCCCCCGGTCATCTACCCCTCTCCTCCTCCCCTCCTTCAG